TGTGTGTGTGTGTGTGTGTGTGTGTGTGTGTGTGTGTGTGTGTGTGTGTGTGTGTGTGTGTGTGTTTGCACTCGCTGAGAGTCAGCGTGTTGAAAAGCCGACCGACCAGCGCGCGGGCATGGCTGGCGCCAAGGCGCTGACATCCCAGGGGCGCCTCAAACCCGGCAACCCCGGGCACAAGTCAGACCCGCACGATGCACAAGGGCGACGCACCCCGTCCTCATTCACCTGCCAGATACCTCCTCCCTTGCTTCTCCTCGCCTTTCGTCCCGCCCCATCCCATCCCATCTCATTCCACCCATCCCCCACTACCCCCCCTGCCATGCACAGGAGTACGCCCCGGAAAACCTGGACAACGTATCGGGCTTTGACCCCCCGCCCTCGCCCCCCTCCAGCTACCTCAACCCGCCTCCTGCCCAGGAGGACTATGCCAAGGAGCCGCCCGCCATGCCGCCGCACCTGCAGCTCACCCTGCTCAACGTGCCGGCGGCGGACACGGGGGCGAGCCTGCCGCGGCCGCAGCACGTGATACTGGGACACGTGTACCTGCAGCGGGGGCAGGTGCGCGTGGGTGTATGTGTGTGCGTGTGTGTGTGGGCGTGGGTGCGTGATGCGTGCGTGAGAGTGCCTGCATGTGCATCTGTGCGCGTGGAGAGCAAGGGCGGGTGCATGCGCGAGCGTGGGTGGGAGGGTGAGGCGAGGGCGGCTGCCGCGTTTGTGGCAGGACGCCTGAGCGTTCCCGCGCGCCCTCAAGCAAGAGTGCCTTTGTGGGGGTTTTTGAAAGCAGAGCAGCAGAATGACCGCGAGTAGCCAGGCCAGCATTGGGGTTGCCCAGCCCGGCCGGGCACCCGGCAGCGGCGAGCGTGTGGTTGGGCTGCTTGCTGCTTCTCACAGGCCGGCCGGGCGGCCCTTTTCCCCTCCCACGTGCGCCAGCTCACCCATACCCCTCACATCCTCGAATCTGGCACCCCTCGAGCATGCTGTAATATGGTGTGTCCGCTGCACGCCCGCCCGCTTGGCTCCCCCCCTTTTCGCCCTCGCCCCCGCCAGAGCGTCAACGCGCTCGTGGTGGGCACGACTCAGCGATACAAGGGAAAGTACATCACAGTAAGGGGGAGACACGTCACACGGGGGAGGGGTGGGGAGCAGGGGGCCGCCGAGGGCGGGCCCGGAGAGGCGGGGCCACGTGCGCGTGTGCCAGGGGGGGCAGGAGAGCTCGCACGCCGCCGCATGCAGCGTGCCCCGATAGCCTGTTGGCAAGAGCACGCGCGGAAAGGGGCCGCGCCGCCAGGCCACGCCCGCCCGCGCGCTCAACACACGCGCCTCGGGCCTGGCGGCGCGCCGCCCGCCGCCCGCAGACGGCGCATCGGTCCCCGCACGCCGCGCCGGGCTTCGCCCCCAACCCCCCTGCATCCCCATCCCATCTGCCCCTGGTCTTGCGTGCAGACCGTGCTCTACAAGCCCAGGCCGGGGCGGCGGCGCGACGACGGCGGCCACTCTCACTTCCCAGAGCGCTGAGCGCGGGCGGCGTCGGGCCCGCGACGGGGCTGCCAGGTCAGCGCAGGGCGCGTTTTTGCGGTGGCGGCTGCGAGCAGAGTCCGGCGAGGCCTTCAGGAGGCAGCCGGGCGGCGCAGCGCCCACCCCCCAAGCCGTTTGCCCAACCGCCTCTGGGTCGTTCGTGCACGTAGATCACGGATGTTACAGACATGTGCACAGTCCCAGCTACACGGGGCGCCCGGCATGGCCGCGGCCGAGCCCTAAGTCGCGCTGCGCCGTTGCCAGCCGGCGGAGGCAGCCGGGCGGCGGCTGCCCGTACCAGGGCCAAGGGCGCCGCGGCGCCTGTTCGGCGCCCGCGCGTGAAACCGCACCCCCGCCCGATTTTGGAGCTGCCCACGCGCGCGGGGCTGTGTCCGTCGCGGGGCCCACTAATTTTGACGCCTGTGAATGCACCCTTCTCCTTTTGATTCCTTCAGCACGTTGGTATGTGGTAACAGGAAAGGAAGACGCGCCCCTGATCACGCGGCTGCTGCCTCCGCCCTACGGCCCTTCGTAATCCTCCTCATCCTCCGCATCCAACAGCGCCGCCGCCTTCCTCTTGCCGTCCCCGCCGGCCCCCGCCTTGGCCCCCGCCGCCGCCGCGGGCGCCGCCGCCGCAGGCTCGGGGGCCTTTCTTAGGGCACCGCCGCCGCCGCCCGCCGCCGGCGCGGCCGCGGCGTCGGCGTTTTTGGCGGCCCTCGCGAGCGCCTCCGCCTCCGCCGCCGCGCCCGCCGGCTTTAGAAATACGGCGTCCCCTGTCTTGTTACTGCTGCCGCCGCCGCTGTCCCCCACTGTAAACGCTCGGTCAAACTCCTCCTCCTCCTCCTCGTCCTGCGCTGACGTCACCGGCGCCCCCGCCTTGCCGCCCGCGCCGGCCGCCTTGGGCGCCGGGGAGGCTGCCGCCGCGGCGGCCTTCGCGCCCGTGGCGGCGGCGGCCTTCGCGGCGGCGACGGCCTTTGCAGCCGCGACGGCCTCCTCGTCTGCGGCCACCTGTTTTTTGAGGGCCGCGATCCTCTCAATGCTCTTGGCCTCCTCATCCGCCGCAGCCTGGGGCCGGGTGGGGGGGGCGCAGGGGTCCAGGGGGAGCGGCGCCGCGTCGGGGGCGGCAGAGACGGCGCGAGCAGCGGCGGCGGGGCCGGCAGCGGCGGCCACGGGACCCCAAAATGGGACCGCGCGCCCGCAA